TTTATTCTGTACGCACATCTAATCTCGCATCTCATCGTGTTGTAGTTTGCGCGGAGCGTAATCGGGTATCTCCATCCTCACCGTTATCATCATCATCATCGGCGTCATTGTTCTTAATGTCACCGCGCACGATAGTACGTCAACGGTTTCAAGCGCGTCGCGGTGCAAACGTTTCCGTAAAATCGCGCGTTTCAGAAATTTATTTATGTCTCGCACTTTGTACGAACCTTCGGGAATTGTAATTTCCACATCATTTTTGTCAAAATAAAATTTGTTGTTCGATTTATTCACGTTCGGTATAGTGTGATAAGTCTCAAAAATCGCCAGACCGAGCTCGTAATCGCCGTTACTCAAATCTATGGCGGGAAAGTTGTTTGCCGCGAGGACGGTGCTCTTCTCGCTCAGCGTAAGCGTCAGCGACATGACGGCGTTCGACTAATACTGAGATTTCACAGCATCTCGCCGAGCTTTTTAAATTCACGCGCGTCTACCGTTTGTAGAAACCGCAGGCACATCTGTCCGCAGAAGCTCTGATCGTACGTCTGATAGGACGTACGATTGTACTCTATCGTCGTAGCACCGTTCCCGAAATATCGCGCCAGTTCCTTGAGAGGTCGAAGATTACCGAAACTGTTAAAGTATACGACGCGGTTGTTCCTCTTCGCGTACGCTATCAGTGAGTACTAGGTCGCGTCGCATCGTCCAGATTCACGATACCGCTTTCGTTTCGACGCGCACCTCTCGGTAACGCGTTACGCATGAAAACGCCTCTAAAGTATGGTATGCGCCTACGTCTCGCGAGCTCGTTTAATTGCACATTAGTAGTTGCGTCAGACGGCATTTTTATCGTCTCTTTGGCGTTTTTTTTTCTTTGCAGCTGCACTCTGTCCATGTTTGTACGGGCCGAGATACAGTCCGCGTCCATATTTGTACGGAGCGAGATACAGTCCGCGCCCCTGTTCCATCGCGCGATCGTGACGTTGCAGCTCCTCGAGCTGACGTCGTGCGGCTTTGTTGTTGTTTACCGTTTTCGCCACGCTGGCCGCTCCGCCGATCAAGGATCCGAGCACGTTCAACATTGGCAGAAACGGTAACGCACCACCTCGTTTCACCGTTGGAAGTATCCGCCTTTTCATCGTCTTCTTCTTCGTCGTCGTCGTCGTCATCGTTTTCTTCTTCGGTTTCATGCCCATGCCGATCTTGGTCTTGGCTTTCATTGCTGCCCAGATGGCAGCAGCGGCGGCTCTCTCGCCCAGAGCCGAATCTCTCGCGGTAATACGTTTCCGCACCTTCTCGGCTAGTAATATTGTCTGCCGCGTGTCTGTCGGTGAGATCGTTGCTGTGCGAATACGCAATGTCGTGGTCTCGACACGCCGCATCCAGCGGATTTATGCCCGCGTCACCTCTGGCTAATCGCTTAGCAAGTCGAGTGCCTGGGCCGCAAAACTGGTAGCCCGGTATATGTAACTCGAAAGGAAGCGCGTTTACCGCTCGATTCAACAGACTACAGACCGACGCTGACATTCGTTACAGTCCTTTATCTTAAGTGCGGGACCGTCGATGTGCGTTCGCTGCCACGGCTGATTGTAGTGCTCGTCTCATCGACGATAGATTCGAACCTCCGAATCTGCCTTCACATGTTCCGGAAGCTGGTCCCAGACGTGTTCGATGTAATCGCCGTACACGCGTAAGAGTACGATCTTCGGTATATATTGCAACTGCTCGGCGCTCAAGTTTCGAATATCGGAAGGATGACTCAGCGCGAGATACATTTTGCTACTGTGCGATTCGCAGGATTCGCACGTCTTTAAATAGTCGTTCGAGAGCGCACAGTCTGTAGTGTGAGCATGAAATTCGTGCTGCAACCGCGACGATACGCGTTACGAACTGTGACGCGAAATCGCGAATGATGGAAGATAGCGCGGAGAAGCGCAAGCACGGCGAAATGCTGCCGAGTACTATACGCGCGATCATTTGCGGCCCGTCGAATTGCGGTAAAACCAACGTTCTCATAAGCTTACTCGAGAGCCCGAACGGTGTACATTTCGAGAACGTGTACGTCTATTCGAAATCGTTGCAACAGCCAAAGTATCGATATCTCGAAAATTTGTTTATGTCTATCGATGAAATCGGCTACTTTACGTTCTCCAACAACAGCGACGTCGTTCCACCGAGTGAGGCGCGTCCAAATTCTATTTTTATCTTTGATGACGTGGCATGCGACAAGCAGGATGCGGTGAGAGAATACTTTTCGATGAGTCGCCACGCGAACGTTGACTGCTTCTATCTCTGCCAAACGTACGCGAGGATACCTAAACATCTGATACGCGACAACGCGAACCTTCTGATCCTATTCAAACAGGACGGTACCAACTTGAAACACGTTTACAACGATCATGTAAATACCGACATGTCGTACAACGAATTTTGCACGCTGTGCCACGCCTGTTGGCAACAAAAATATGGATCCGTAGTGATAGACAGTGCGCTCACAAATGGACGATACAGAAAAGGATTTAACGAGTTCGCGATACCGTAACGCGACCAGTCGTTGTCGATACTTAGTCACAGACGAGCATGACAGATGTGCGCGAGCGTGAAAAAATCGTGAGAGCGATCGAGAAGACGAGCGAGTCGATCCGCAAGAAACATCGCGCTCTAAAGACCGGTAGAATCGAGAAGGGCATTGCGTTGGGCAGACGTTTTAAGCCTCTTATCGAGCCGCTGCGACTTTTCGTCGACAGCCCCGGCGTGCGCGCGATAAAGAGAGAGTCGCGCGACAAAGATGCAGCGTCTGCCATAAACGCGAGAGGAAGGAGGAAGAGGAACAAGAGGAGAGAGAAGAAGCGAGCGAGACGTTTGAGCGTTCCACGACTCTGCATAAATCCAATGATCGATCGCACGATGATGTACAATCAATAACCTCCACCCCGCGTGCCAAAATCGTATCAACGATAGAGTCGTTGGAGAACGTTTTCGAAACGACGGAAGATTCGCTAGCGACGAAGGTTCAAAATCAGCTGCAAATGTCGGAAGATCGAGAGGCGTTACGAGCTGGTTTGGGCCCGCTGGGTCAAAAGTACGTAGAGGCCGTCCTGAGGGGAGCGCGAGATAAAGAGAACGACATAGATCGCGTGTACGGCGTTTACCTACACAAGGATGGACTGATGTTTGGCAATAAACGTTTCGACGTGGATGACGCGGACAACATAATTATCGACGGCGTACGATACGCCGGTACATCAGGTCTTTACGAGTTGATTTTCAAGAGAATTACCGACGATGCGCTCTACAGGGAAGATATGCACAAGTACAAGAGCATGCTGTTGGTGACGAACGCGCACAAACACAAGTACCATTCACATTCCGATTATTGAGTAACAGAGGATACAAGTACAAACACGTAATCGCGCCGTTGATGTCGGTCACACCCAAGAAACAGAAGAAATCTGGAAAGGGATTACCTCACGCAATGACATTGAACGACAACGCGATCGATTACATACACTGGGATGATCCCAACGAGCTGGTGGATCGTCTACGATTGCTCAACGCTTCTCATCGAGCGGGCAACAACGCTCACGACAACGAGATACTGTCGATCATCGAGGAACTTCGCGAAGCCGGTCTTATTATAAATTAAATCGCGTATTCATAAAACGAGTCAGTCGAGTGACACCAGCGAGAAAAATACATTAATTTCTTGTACTCTGTGTATTACACGTCGAATCATGAAAAAGAAATCCGATGAAAAGAAAGAAAAAATTAGCTCCGAGAAACGTCGGCTCGTCGAGGAATTGCACGCTCCGGCGAGAAGAAATTTTCCGCGAAGGCGTGTCATAGTCCGGGGATACGACGATCTGTGGCAGGCTGATATCGTTGAGATGCGCCCGAGAGATACTCGAGTTTCAACAGAGGCTACCACTACATACTCACCGTCATCGATGTGTTGAGCAAGTACGCGTGGGCCGTTCCGCTCAAGAGCAAGGGTGGAAGCGAGACGGCTAACGCTATCGCTGAGATCGTTCGAGAGAGCGAAAGATGTCCGAAAAATTTACAAACG